ACAGTGTCTTGGAGGTCWCAGTGAAAAAATGAGAAACAGGGAAAATGTATCCAGGAAGATTCTAACTAGCTCCCCAGGGAAGAGTATTCAGCAGGGGGGCAGATACTGGAAAGGAGCTGTTATTTCCATCCTTGAAGATATTAAAAACTTGACTAGATAGGCTCCTAAATAACCTGATGTAATTGTGAAGTAATCCCTGCTTTGAGCATGAGGCTGGACTAGATCACCTCCTAATGTTTTATCCAATCTAAATTACTCTGTTTTAAATGGCACAATTAGAGGATTTCCTTCAAAAATATTCTAATGCTTCAATCCAATAATATATGATAATTCTCTCAAATTCGTTTCCTGAACTTGGCTCAGAACTTGTTCCAAGACAAGGGCATGCCATTTAATAGAATTTGTTGAGACCCAACTTCAAAGTAGCATAAATACTCTGKTAGTGCTGAAAGATAATTGAGATGGGAATGTAAATATCAAGTGCCATWGAATAATTGAATTTTTTTCCCAGTGAAGAAAACCAGATAGCAATTAAGGAAGTCCACAAGGGAGTTTGATGAGAAGTAGACATGTGAAATAAAAATGACCAAGAATTTCTGGACAGGGAAAACAGGAACAAAAGTAAGAAAATCAAGAACTTGGGAGGTAAAGACTCTCAAGGTATGAMATATGCCTTATGCAGCAAAGAGCTAATTTAAGATCAGACAATGGAATGAAGCTTGTGAGTAGATGTAAAAAAGGTTTTGATTTAACAGAAATATGGGACAGTTTGCATGCTCTCCATCAGAATGATAACCACCTCAACAACAGAAGATGTTTGGATATTATAAAACTGTCTCCCTAATTCGGTTAAAATGGGAAAGAGCCACCAAGTGTCTGCCTAGAAAAAAAGTCTGTCCGTCAGCAAAATTCTGTCTGAATAAAGACATAGTGCAGAAACACTCCATATAGGGTGGCCTGAGGTAACATCTGAGAGCATCAAGAGAGTATAACTCCCGGCAGGTACCCATCCTCCACAGYATCCTACAAGCAACTCCCATTTAGAAGGCAGGGAGAAGTGAGAATGCTGGCATACAAAACTGGAAAACAGGATAGGCCATCCCTGGGATATACAGGGGATGTGTTACTGTGGATAACCTTGTATACCAAGTGAAAAGGATGACTGTACTTGCAGTATGAGGGAGCTCTGTGGTTTTGCRTATCTGCTATGTCCCCCTTGTCGTTATGTGCGTTTGCTGTGATGAACTGAAAATTGTTACAGAGTTGAAATTTTAAAGGCAAGTTCAGGATTTGCACACCCTACTTRATGACACAGATTTACTGGGGAATTGAAGAAGGCAAACTATGATGCGTGTAGCTTTCTACTAGCACTGTGGAAGTGCATGACAATGCTGAGCAGATCGTATCGTAACTATGGTCCTTCAAATTGGGAAAAAATGTTCATTACCTTCAATTCTCACTCCTTTAAAGTCCAAATCTAATTCAAGTTCTGTCTTCTTCAGAACAAGCACCAGTGAAAGTTGATGATACAGCATGTGCAAGTTTATATAAAGGATAAAAATCAGCTACTGTTGTTACTCCATCAATACAGTGAAACTAAGACTCCAGCCCACTAGAAAATACCCATTCCATAAATTTAGTTTTTGTGACATTGACATAGGTTACTTGTAGTATTGAGATTTAATGTCTTCTATTTGAGTATTTCCATCTTGAGTGTTCCCATGTATCTAAACACTGTGGTGCCTGATTTTCTTCAGCTACACTTTAGGAGTTCTCATTTGAATCAGAAATTGAAGCAGGCAACTTGATCTTCTGGCACTGTCCCTATCGCTTCTTGTCAGAGCACTATTTAAACACTAGTACCTCACAAAGAGGCTTCCTACCGATAAGGAACATGTGGTTATTATTGACATAATTATCAATGCATTAGGACAGTATGTATCAAAATTAACAACAATCATGCAGGTGACCATCAAGACAAAAAATAATGCCACTTGCTGTGGTTATCTGTAGCATAAACCTGAATCAATTAAAAAAAAAAAAAATCAGGCTATAATTGTCAATCGTTATTACACATTAGGAGCAGGGTATGTAGGAAAACACTTCACCTGAACTATTGAACTTCACTTTGAACTATTACACCTAAAGAAGTTAGGTGGGATTTAATCTACCTGTAGATATCAACATTGCAAACTAAATTTGCCATGCCATGCTCCCTTTACACACTACACTCTGATCTTTAGAGAGCTCTGCATCTAACCTATTTTACYTATCTCTTAGCATAAGATATCTGAGACATGTGTAAGTGAAAAATTCACTGGGTGTAATGAAAGCATCCACTTGCATGTAAAAATCTGTATTGCTTCATTAAGTCCCTTCCAGGTATTAATAAACCCCATCAAATTTCAGCCTGATTTTAAGATCTGAATTCAACTTTTGAAGTGTATTTTTTTTTTACAGTGTGATTACACAAATACATACAAAAAGATAATAGTAATCTGCTTGGAACATTATCTCTGGTTTGACAACTTTCCTAATGCCAACAGAAAATACTTGCTTAATGGTACAGCAAAATCACAGGAAATCTAAAATACTGTTTTGAGTACGCTCTCATTATTTAAATCATGTTGTACCTATTAATAAAGGGACAAAACAGTGCCATTAATGCTGCAGTGAATCACTCAGAAGCTTATGAACTTCAGTCTGGCCCTCCCAAATACATTCATTTAATTACAGATTTTTTCCCCCCACCTTATTTGTAAGGATAAACAATGCTCATATAAATGAGCAGTGCTTTACKATTTTTCTTACTGCCGAAGATCTTAAATCTAACCTAGAATACATCCTCAATAACAGATTATACATTTTCTGTTTCTTCTGCAATAATGCAGATAGATCTGATAGTTACTAAATAAGTAACTGCTTATCAATGTAACTGTTACTAAATAAGTTACTGCTTATCTCCACAACTGCCCCAGTAATGTAAGGACTGGAATGGATTTTCATACAGAGAACTGAAGACAGGGAGAACAATCGGATGTATTAGTTTTGAGTACATTCTGAAGTGGTTCCGGATAGTTCAGAAACACAGTTCTACATAATTTCATATATACTTAAGTACAGGATTGACAGATTCAAGTTGAAAATKACTGCTCAGCACTTGAATCAGATTCAAGAAAATCAATTTATGATTTTGGTTAATCACTAACAAAGTACCCTGTTTTATTACCCTAGCATTAGTTAGGGACCACATGACAGAACAATATAGGGAATTCATCTGTTTTCTGCTGCACTAATTGCAAACTTCCTCTCACCCCATTTCCCATGAACATTTCTGCTACATGCTAAGGAATCCTGCAAATACTACAACCGTTTACAAACCACGTTACATRAGCCATTAGGTCCACAGCACAAACCAGTCTAGCAGATGACAAAAATGTACTACAACATACCTCTTGAGAAGACAAAGCAGTTTTACAGTCGTTCTAAACTTCCAAAATTAAATGTTAAAGCTTATCTTCCATGCCCACCGTTAGCTTAAAGATACTGTAATTCTGTTTAAGGATTTCTTCACTTGAATTTGTAAATATGTAAATATAKAAATATGCRTTACATAGAATTTCATTCATCTTGTCTTCACGATTTAAGTTATCATCAACATTTTATTTCCTGAAAACTACAGAAAACTACTGTTACAAAATTTTCTGTTCCTGAGAGCCATGTCTAAATGGGAAAAGAACTCAGAAGTTGACTTGATTTTCACTTTATTTAAACAGTCATGCAAATTTCCCCTCTTGTTTACTGAAATCAACTGAAGTCAAGACAAGTCAGAAGTTTAGAGCTCAATGAACCAAGCTTTCTTTACTAACATGTTAGAGCTTGTAACTGAAACACAACCCTCCTTTATTCATAATGAATTCCAGGGCAAAATCTGACCAGTGTACAAAAATTGCATTAATAATTCTAAGTAAAAAAACCCAAGCATTTTACTTGTGRTTGTTTAACAGATTTCTCCTAATTTCATGAACGACCAAATCACAATTTTCAACTTGGATACCAATTTGTGTTAAACCAGTATTTGCATCAGCCTGCTGTACCRATGAGTTAACAAATTTGAAGATTTTGTCTTTGCCATTGTTCCTATAATCTAGTCCATACTTACAATAAAGCATTGATGACTTTAGATGTCAATTCCAAAAGAAAAGGTCWCACTTCCTCAGTCAAATGAAGCTGAGTTCCATTCAACAAAGTAACTTTTAAATAAGTTCAGCTTCCAAAGGAAAGATGATCCAAAGTTTATTTTACTTGACAGATTGAGCTAGTTATGTTCTTTCAAGCATTTTTAAATCATAGTGTTCTTTATGAGGCTGTAACTTTTCCAGAAGCAACCCTTCAGAAATCTCATTGCCTGATACCATGATCCCACCTCATCGTTTAGAAAGAAAGAGACTATAACCCCAGTTCAAGCAGATAGGAGCACTGACCACCTCAGCTGGCTACTAAGAGCACCTTCCAGTTCTCAGTCACCACTCTGAAAACTCACACAACAGATCTTTGTTTACACTGTTTTGGAACAGCTTCTGTTCATACATAGCTTCTGTCTTCACAATGAAGCATTCTATCATACTATTTTTACTTGAATTCTGATGCTACTAATTCAAGTGTTCTCCAAGCTTTAGTGATGCATGTAACTCTTCTGTTTTAATGCAAAAACAGCTTCAAGAACACAAAGCAAGTAGCCTAATTTAATACTGGCGACAGCAAGTCACAAGTAAGCTACATGAAGAAATACTGTACTTTCTACCATTAATTTTTGTCCACATTTATTTATGAGTAAAACAAACAGCAAACATTACAGCAAAGGGGACATTCAAGCCCAGATTAAAAAAAAACCAAACCAACAGATGCCTGACTAGATTCTGAATTTAGGCACCTCAAGACTGCTGACAAAGTACGCGAAAATTAGTGAAAGTGATGAGTATTTCAGCAAACTTCGTAAGTGCATTTCAGTATTTATTTAGATGTTTTAAGCTCTCGCACTAGATTTTACAAGCTGGTGAACACTGGCAAAAGTATTTCTCCCACAGAACTATAACCACACATTCCCAAGACAGTATAAATATATGGTTGAACTAACATTAATACACATCACCATTTTATCAATTACATAATAAAACAAATTATCAAGTATCCAAATATTAAGTTACGCARCTTGAAAGGCATACAAAATATTACAGAGGTCTGCCCAAGTCATAGCAGAAACTCAAGGAAGAAAAATGAAACGAAAAAAAAAAGATCACACTTTCAACAAAGCAATAGTTGGTAAACAACTCTCAATAGGTACAGTAAAAGAAAACTACAAGATTTTTCAGAAATTTTCTGATTAAGAATTTTTAGCTACAATAACAAAGCATTTCTACATTTTAAAAAAATATTTACTAAAGTAAAGGGCATATTCTATACTTCCTGCACAAGACAAAGGCAACATTTTACTAGAAATATTAAATAGCCCCTCCCAACCTTTTCAGGCCCTCTGTTAAGTTGCACGTGAAGTGCCAACATTAATTTTACTGTAAGGCTTTTTGTCTGGAGACATTAAAGACTTGTGTGCTTCTGTACAATTTAAAAGATCTTCTACATGAATAACCAGAGTAATGACTTGTAAAATGGAGAGGTTCAGGTAACAGAAAAGTACAGATGCAGGGGTAAAAAGTTGCTGTAATTCCTAGTATTAAAAAGACAGACTGTGCAAATCCTGATAATTCTAGTGCGATTGTGGGAGACAAAACAGACAGTGAGCAGGCAAGACTACTTTAGAGGCCATATTCTTCAATATTGAAATGACTGTAGACAAAAAGATAGTAAGGTCCAGATAAGCTAGTAGTTCTCACATCATCAGAACTATGCTCATTTTAAGGAAAAACATGTAGCTGATATGCTGGGTGTTTTGGCACCTAATCTCTACAAATTGATTTATTTTAGTACCCAAATTTTTAGTAGTTGAAACTAGGTCGGTAAGACTCAATGGCATGATTAAAGGATATTTGATCTGATAATTAATAAACAAGAAGACAGCTCAGAAACAGGGTACAGCAAAAACATTTACTGGGTCTCCGAATAGACAGATAYTTATCTAAACATAGAAGTTGCATTTCTATTGAGCCTTTAGCCTAATAAATACTCCTAAGGAAGCTTCCTTTACTAYTAAAAAATACCAGACTGATGTCTTTGGCATGCAGTCTGCTTAATTCTAGATTCCTTCCTTTATTTCCGAAGAAGTACTATAGGCTCTTGAGCTTTACTGAATACAACAATTATTTCGGTGACCATTGGAGTCTTTAAAGCGCAGACGCATCTTGGGGCGGTATTTCTCCAAGTACAGAAGTTGCTTGCTGTTGAAAGCTCCACGCCTCTTCCTAGATGGAGAAAAACACATTTTAAACAGAATATTAATCTACTGCCCAGTGAAATAATATCACCAACCAGAGAAAAATATTTTTAGGTCACTTAGAAAAGCCACCTTTAAGTCAAGTCCATAACCAAAATAGGGATAATTGGAAGTTAAGTGCCAGGAAAGAGGGTGGTAGCTTCCTTTCACAAATATCTCAYTGGACCACATGCTCAAAGGACTACATTGCATTTTATACAGTGTTCTAGTCTCTGATATGCACAAGCCAGAGATCTTACATTAAGATCTTCAGAAGAAACCTCAAAAGGAAGCTACAGAGCAGATGCAACATTGTCTTCATAAGAGAATAAATAACTTCAGCTCTCAAGAAGAATACTACAAAATTAAGATAGTATATAAACACTCAAAGTCCCCATAATAAGATGCTGAACAGAAACTGAGCTTTTTTTGTTTCTCAAACCCTCAGTATATGAAAAAAGGTATATGCTGGCTGACTATTTGGAGTATGTACCTGGCTTTCCATTCCTCACTTCATGTACAACCAGTATAAGCGGACTTTAAGTCTTCAAAGGCCTGGCTATTATGCAAGAAGTAYTTTGTTATTGTTTATAATGGATGCAACTTATTTTAAATACATCTGAAACCTGAGAAATTAAAACACTGAGATTAAAGTTGTTCTCATCCAACTTACATACCTTGATTAAAAAATCTAAGGAAATATTTGTCTTCAGCAGACCACCAGAAAAGACTATGAAGAACTTTTTAGCACACTTTGATCTAATACAGAAGGAAGGATCCACCAACATGGATGAGTATTAGTTCTAGCTAGAAAACAGAATCTAAATTCCAAAGGTATTCTGCCTTTCATATGTAAAACAAATAAAGAGAACTCTTCCAATCTAAATGAAGGTTAGGGGGTTTGTTAAAGTTTTTTTTTGTTTTTTTTTAAAACCTCCTCAAATAATTATGTACAGATTCTGGTTTTGACAGGAACAGAAAATATATTCCACAGGCCAAGTCCTACAACACTGACCGTATGTGGCACAATTTCAGATGTACGGAATTAAATAACTTATAAAAAAAAAAAGAAAAAAAGGGGCAACAAAGACAAGGATAACATTCAGAATTTCCTTCAGTGCCCAAGGATGTATCAACATGTTAAATCTTGGGAACAGCTACATGTTAGCTCATACTTACTGTCTTATGAACTGCACTGCATCTTCATACTTCATTCCACATTCTATGAGTGCAAGAGCAACTAAGACTGGAGCTCTGGTTTAAAAAAAAAAAAAAATCAGTTTAGCTTTTGTCAAAGCATTCTCTGAAAAACAGTTTACTTTATCCAGTTCTCTCTTCTGCATATCTGAGGTTTCTCCTCTGGGAAAACTGAAAAGGAAAAAAAGCATTTCTGCATCAAATCAGACACAGTATCACCTGGTTCTGAGTTAGCCATTCTCATTAAATAGGGGTTTAAATTAACTCTGATCAACCTTACCTTTATTCACCTGACTCCAGGTACAGGAGAGGGCAATAGGAATAAAATGCAAGTAATCTTTAACCATTTGYTTAAAATCAATTGATTCTGAGGAAGAGTTGCATATGGGTTCCTATTCTCCACAATGAATCATTAGAGGCAGTCAAGATGCCAAAGCAGAAGTCAAAAGATGGGTCAGGTTCAACAAGAACTGACAAATCCTAGAACTAGTGTCACCAAGTTTTAGAAACAGATGCAATCCATGCTGCACTCCCCTGCACTCCCCTGAGCATCTCCTTGCTTGCCACAGTGTTCTTCCTGACAGAATCAATTTGCAAATAGAAAAGCTTGACTTAAATACATTAGCAATTTATGGCTCAAAAACACAATCAAGACAAAACCCCATGCCACAAACTAGCAACAAACAGAACTGAGCATCTAGTAGTAAGTTTAAGTAGTTTTGTGTGTTCAGGGATTTAAAAGAAAACTTCCATGATAAAAAGCTAGGACCATCTTTTCAACTAATTGACTGCCCAGTTTTTGTGGAAAAACCAACTGATATCATTCTAAGCAGTGGAAGAGGACTTGTTTTGGTAACATTCATCACTGCAGTGAACTTTGTTACGTGTGAAGCCATAATGCAGCGGAGAAGGCAAACTTAAGGACAAGCAAGACCAGAAACCTCCATTTTATATTGGACATGCTGAAATCCATGGCTAGAATATAGCAACTCCTTTTCAAACAGATCTAGTTCTCAGGTGGTCTAGAACTAACGTGGGCCGGGGGATATCCAGGGGGTCTCGTCTCTCTGCGTGTACCACAAGCGTCTCCTGCCTTTAAGATCGCCTTGGCCAGCACTTCTTGGTGCTATGCAGGAGAAAACCCACGCCTGGGCTGATGACTAGCAAAACACCTTCCTCAGTGGACTGGTAGCCCATACGTTACCAGAGATGGAGAAGCAGAGTGCTCAGCCGTGTGGTTTATTCTAGGCTTCTATTCTCGAAGGGACTAGGGACGAAAGAGGGAGCTGTGGGGTTACTTGCCTACAGATAAATCCCTCAGGGCCAGTTACTTGAGAAGCTGGGAGGAGAGAGAAGGGGAATATAACAACTAGTAGGGGAAGGGGTAGGCGGAGAGAGAGGTCACATCAAATCCAACCAGGGCATCAGGATTTACATATTCATGGCAAGAACCATTTCATTCCCAGGGGGGTTATCAAACTATTTCCACCATTGTGTGCTAACTATCCCAGGACTGTCCAGCCCTTCAGCATTTTCTGAGGTGGTTTCATCTACCACAACATAGAACAACAGCAGAAAAACCATTATTTTCTCACAAGGGTTGGAACCGTATTTAAGATAGTAGCAGCAGACAGAAGAAACAGGGCTAAGAGGAGAATATTTAGCATCATCCCTAAAAATTTTGGTATCTCTTAAAAATGAGACAAACACCTTTAGGACTTTGGAAAACACTTTTCATCGCCCAGATAGGTAGTGGATGAAAGCTGATCTTGATATGCCACAAACACTTGTTTGTGGTTAATGGTGGTTCAAGGAGACTGAAAATACTGCTGAAATGGAGATGGAGAGGAAGCAGATGAGTCACTAAAGAACTAATCCATTAAGAAAAAGAAGTAGTAAGACAGAAAATATCAATAGGACACTCATCAATATGCTTTGTACGAGCACAGTTGTTAACTTTATTTTGAAGACTTTGTGAGAGCTGTGACAGAGGCTCTCCAATCATCTCTTGACTTAAAGATCTTTAACAAATACATACAACGTTTTCCTGCCATCTTAACTACTTTTAAGCATGAGGTCATTCCAGTATTGGATACATGACTATTTTGCATTTGCCTCAAATAAAATTTTTGCACTAGATCTTAACAAGTCTGACCAGGAATTCAATGCATCTTTAAAACTTCACCCACCTTCCAAGACCAGCAACACAGTGTACAGCAATACAACAACCAGGTTCTTCACGAAATTTAACTTTAAGGAGGTTTAGCCAATCATCAACAATCTGGTTGGATGGTGGAGCACCGTCATCAAAGGGCCAGTCCTAGAACACAGGATGACAAATACATAAAGGCAGAATTCTTGTCTAATGTGTAGGAAAAAAAATAAGGAGGGGACACAATGGACAAAGCTGACAGCTAAAGAAATTATCAAACCTGCGATTTTTTAATAGTATAACTACAGAAATATTATGAATACATTCCTTTCAATCAGGTTTCATTGAGCATATGATTTAGCTCAAAACTGAACATTTTTTCCTGACAAGAAAAGATATCTGCATGTCTTTTTCCTCCATCAGCTGCGGGAATACACTCATAGACATAGTAAGGTGATGCCAAATAATCTTATTTTTGGGAAGGGGTCAGGGTGAAGAGGGAAACAGGTTYGTTTTGAACTCTGCTTCTACACTACTTACCAAAACCTGAATGCCTTCTTTTTCCACCGGAGCAGTGTCATAAGTAGCTTCACACACTCTTACCACTGTGGTAACACCATATTTCTTAAGTTCCTAGGGAGTGAAWAAACCCAATGCTGTAAATCAGCTTCACTTACCATTTAATTTTCTCGATAAACTAATTTAGTAACTCACTGCAAAAACTTCAGTAGCTAAATTGATATAAATGCTTGCCATCTTGCAAAGAACACAGAAAGCTGAAATGATTAAAAATTTGTGTGCTAATGCCAGACAYTTCAAGCTTTTCTGCAAGTAGTCTCATCTGCAGACAAAGTTTTGTCAGGTTGGATTAGACTTTTTTCTTTTGAAATCAGATCCAGATAAATATTGATTAATCAAGTAGCCCATCTCCAAAAGATCATTCCTTTTAAAGGAACAGAAAAGCTTCCTGATATGCAAAGCTACSGACATACTAAATGCATTCTGAGCAAAGTTCAACTCTTCCCCTTCTCTCTCTGATTAAAACAACAGGTTTGTCAGACCGCTTACTGTTAAGAGTTATAAGCACAGGACAATAATATTTCCAGTTTCTGAGCTGTCATAACAAAATTTAGCTTTCCATTTTGCTATTACCCTACATTAAAACAAACAAAACACAATCCCTCTTCATTCTCCCTGCAACAACCCTTTATTCGCACTCCAACTGTCACAGTAATGACTGAAGCATAGATTAAGCATACTTGATCTACTTGTGAGAGTACAAAGGCAAGCAAATGTTATCTCACCCTGTTTTCTAACAATTACCCTGCACCGAATGCAGAATTGAGTTATAGCATACCTAAAATCTTTTTAAGGAAAGACTTTGCAAACTTGGACCTTTCCAGGAAGTAGCTTTGCAAGAAACTAATTATTAGCGCACACACACACACACAGACACACACACTTKATACAAACATGCACTTCATAGTTCCAACATACTAAATACAAGGTTTAGATGATAAATTCAGTATTAGCAATATATTCCAAGCCACTGGCTTTGGTCAGTAGCATGTACCAAATCACTCAAAGGAGCTTCAGCAGCTCTGGATGCAGAGTAAGCCTATTGCCACAAATTTCACTCAAGGAGACACTATGACACAGAGGATCCTCTTAAGCTACACTAAAACCATGATCTGCTAATACTGAAGGAAACTAGGCAGTGAAAGCATATTGCAATCCTGTTATTTCTTACAAAGGTTCTGACCCACAATATATCATTATGCAGCAAGTGCAAGGAAATGTTACACCACTTCAGCCTTTTCTGAATGCAAGCTGCTACCATTAAGAGATATTTGTACTGTTCTACATGTAACTCAGCTAGGAAATTCCTGTTTTCAGACCTAAAAAATGTACTTAATGTACCATGTACTAGACAGTATAATTATTACTTGGCTTCACTCTCAAAATTATGTTTGTGAAGGCCAAAGCATATGTGACTAGATCGGTCTGCAGATCTTTAAAGCACAGCACCAGTATTTGAAAAAAAATCAAGACAGACTCAGTACCTCCTCGTATGGCTTTCACAGCAGTTATCAGCTAGTAAAGAAACTTGTAAATACAGCATGCTGCTCAGGCATTAAAAAAATACATCAGTAAGAATTCTGTACCAGCCTTACCTCTATAAATTTGTTTAAGGTTGCATTGGTTGGATTATGTGTGATCAGGAATCTCATGTTCTTGTAGGTGATTTCCACAGGAGCTGGGCGGTTCATTCGGGCCATATTGATTTAGTTAAACATGCAACAAGATTATGAAAGGACTTAAAAAAAATTCTAATACAGAAGTGATGTAGAGAAACTGAAGTCTACTTCACTATACTCCACGTGAAATTCTCAGTGCTTGGAAGTATGAAGTTGGGAGCAATGGGAAATGAAATGAACCTCCTAACAAGAAGCAGCAATTCTTCAATCCAGTAATACTGAGGCAAAAGAAAGGCAGTGCACTGAGGTTTACCCCATCCAGGTCTGAATTCCTTTGTTAAATGCTCTGCCAATTTCAATTCAACACTTCTTATCCTGGTCAACCACTCTTAGGGGGGCTTCTTGGTGGAGTAGTAATGAATTTCTACAGTTCACTTGTCTGCATAGAGGTCGTGCTGTGCCTGGCAGTAGTCTCCACTGCCCTTCAGAAACTCCATAAATGTGTGACCAAGAACACCACAGAACTGCTGCAAAGAGAGGGGAGAAAAAAAAAGCCACAATGAGTACAGGTGAAACAAGGTTATTTTTAAGACAACAAGTTTTATAAAARTGAAAAAATAAAAATACAGCAACTAAGTGGTTTCATAAGGTTTATTTTTTATTCCAAGAATTAGCTCTGTATAAGAATCCTGTTACCTTTCTCGCAAATAAATACATTTACTTACTATGAAGTTTCCATGTAGGGTTTTTGCAACACCAAATCCTGTAATGTATTAAAATAACAATTTCAGATGCTCTAAACATTGCAACAAGTTTTAAGAGCCCCAGAATTTACAAAAAGAATAGTTCTTCCAGGATACCCATACAATTGCCTTTTCAGTTTTGAACTGAGAGACATCACAACATCTACTAAAGTAWAAGTGCCTCAAGTGCCAAAACAAAAGTGTATTAATCCACCTGACTCAAATAGGAGGCCTTGAAAGCAAATGCAGCCTTTGTGGCTTAACATCACATGTGAGCTTCTGAACAGAAGCTTTTGAGGCACACAGATTTCTAACTAAGGAACATTTCACACAGCAAAGCCTGAAGACCCACTGAACCTTCATATGCTTTCAACAGGTCTTTTTACACCATGATTTCATTAATATCCCATGACAGTAGTAATAGTCTAGCTAAGAACATACATAGGCAAGTTCACTGAACAGGTTGTTCCTGTCCAGTGGTACACTGTTTAGCTATGGTTTACTTTATATATATAATTACTGCAAGATGCAACGACAAACTAAAATAGAAAATTAACTACTCCAAGTTGCTATTTATTTGCMGGTGTTGCAAATGAACCACCCATATGTGCTTCTATGCAGCATGGAACCCTTACAGCAAATGCATTAGTTTTGTGCCCAGCCACTCTACCAGTGCTACTGTTTATACCTGCCTAGGCAACAGGAGGGAAGAAGGGAGCACCGTTTTCCAAAAGAGAAGTAGAAGTTGAACCACATGTCCACTAAATATACTTATGTATTAGAGAGAAACATAATCAATCCTACAAATATTTAGTAGAAAAAGTTATTTATGTTGGTCAGTCAAACTATTTTCATGTTTTCAGACATCTTCCTGGTGAGTTTTAAGGGTGCCYGTTAAGCACAGGCATGCCTTGTAAAAAACAAACTAACAAACACACCATAAAACTCCAACCGGCTAGCAGACACAAGAATCAAGTTATCAGAAACAAACTAAGATGATCATTTCACATCCACTTTGCTTCCACTTCAAAGATACTACCATCACCTCACAGTGATAAAAACTACAGGATTAAGTTTGCCAGTTACTTRCAGAAAAGCTACTTCAGTTTTTATCTTTAAGAACTTGAGAGACAGCAACAACTCTAATAGGTGTGGAAAAGGAGCAAGAAAGATCCTCTGAAGTCAAAGGTCAACAGAGTAACAGGAACCAGGAGAATTCAGACTCGGAAGAACTCCAAGAATCATCACCTGACTCACCAGCCATGCCCTACCAAGGTGACAGGTGTGCATTTAAAAGCCTCCTAGGAGGAGATCTAGAGAACAGCTAAAATAGCAACAGGAAAAAAAAAAMCTGAAGATAATTTATTTAAAGTCACTTTCAATTAGTTTAAGAAGCAGAACACCAAAAAGGGACAGGACAGCTTTAAGCAGATACAGCTGCACAAGGTCTTGTGCCGCTATTTGTACTGCACCCAGCAGATCTCATGTTGATTTCTTGGTAAGACTGCTATGAAGAATCATAGACAGGCCCTTTCACTGGTAAAGGATGAGGGACCGAGGGCTGTCAGAAACAAATGCATGCAAATAAGCTTGAGGACACAGAATCCAGTCATTAGGGTGAAAACTTTTCAATCTGCAAGACGTACATTCTGGGGGAGAAAAGAACATTAACATATCGCCATACCGGGGCAAGTAGGAAGAAAGAAGTAATCAGAATTCATCCAGTCTTCCAGGCAGGCTGCCCTTAGTCTGCAACTAGGAGTACTAAAAATACCAGACAAACCAGTAAACAAGGAAAAGGGCAGGCAGCAAAGAATTAGTTAAATAAAAAAAATCCCCTTCTTTTTAATGCAGACTGCTAATGACATTTAGAAGCTGGGTGCACAGTTCAAATTCTTACACAAAGTAGAAACAAGTAGATTATGCAATGTTACATTTGAGTTCTCTGTGTTATTAACCCTTACAAACAAATTCACTTTGTTAATTGCTAACTTAACAGTCAGTATTAGACACATCAGAGCCGTAATAATTCACACAACTAAGAACCTAACCAAGCATGTACTTAAGCCTCACTGTTTGCCTTGGCAACTATTGCTACCACATTATAAAGGACCAAATATCACATTTTCCTTTGATGTGAATGCCATCACTTCTCACCAATACTAGCAGGAAAGCTTCACATGCAGACCAACTCCTTTTGGCAGCAAAACACTGTACTATCCCAAGACAGCTTTGCCAACCTAGTTTCATTGTTCTGAGAGTCAAAAATTAAAGATGAGTAGTACATGGGCATGCTGTTTGTGTTACGGTGTTAAGCCAGAGTACAGGGCTTCACTGATCTTCAGCAAAATGACCTGGGAGATGAGAAATCAGCTATGAAAATAGTGTTGTGGTTATTACGATGACCTCAGGCTTTGAGTGAACACAAATGATGTCAAAGCTTTCAAAAGGCTTGGAAATACAGCTTAAAATTTACTTAATTGATACRTACAGTTTTGGTAGGTAAACTATTGAAACAGTCAAGACAGTGCATGAAAGCAAAAGGTGCATAAGTGAAATTCAAATTCATACTGCTGAATGTAGAATGTTCCTTAACACAGTAGCTCCAACTCATCGTTTGTACCGTCAAACTCGATACTCCAGCATATTCTTTTCAATTTACATATAAATTTTCCTTGAGGAAATTTAATACTGAAGGATTTTGGAAGAAGTAGCAGTTTCCATCACAACAGAAGCCCAATATTTAGGCTGTTAAAGCAATCAAAATAAACATGGAAAACAMAACTAACATTAATATGCCAGGACCCCCCATTAAGAGAAGGTAATCTGCCCATTATAGATGCATTTATTATGATGGTATGATCTACTACACTTCAAGCCACGAGAAGTTAGATAATAGTCTGTTCAAGCAGGTGGAAGTAATCTCAGAAAGGCTTTTAATTCATGCCCTTCTCTGGGACAGAAAGCTGAAGTATCTATGCTCACTGACAAGCAGATTCACATGGATGTTAACTTAGGGTTTGAAACAATAACTCTTATCTGACAAAACTGGTTTATGAAAGTAATCYATTAGACCCTATAGATATGGAGAAAGTGGAGACATGTTAAGTTAACCCATGCTGTTGATTCTGGTTCACAGCTCGGTAGCATCTTGAAAAGTGTGTAAACAAAAGCATTTGTTAACAGAGTTATATGACACTTTACCTTCAGAAGATGTTCACAGCTGCTCAATCCACGTGCTCATAGATCAAAAACATTTATACCCAGAACCAACTACGTGGTCTCACATTCTCTTAAGTCAAGACTTGACACTCACCTACTGAAACCACAGGTTTAAAACTAGAAAACTGAAATAAACTGAGTTTCGTAACAATTTGAGACACCTGCAAGGAAGTTCATGGTTCTAACTTGCTACCCAAAAAAAGATACTGAATGGCAAAAACACCCGACTTCCTCTTATTTACTCTTCAAGGCCTCAACAGCAACTGCCAAGACAGACACGAAAGAGTGGGAGGGTAAGGGGTATAAACTGGGAAGCCATTACAGAAGGTGGAGGCACACCTTCATAAGGTGCTCTTGACAAGATGCACCTCCTATCTACTGGGCACATAAATGCCTGTCTCATGATATCCACAGTGATAACAGTGTCCATTTTAGGCCACAGAAAGCAACCCATTGTCTATGAAAATACATTCCTATCTCTCCAATGACAAGGGAGAATCCAAAGGTTTATCATAAACTTATTGTGACGTGCTTTAYGATGAAAGAATATTCTTGTGGTTCAAGTATGCAATGAAGGGGGAAGAAAAAATTATCTCAAAACTTCCGGTATAACAAGTCAATGCAACTTTCAGAGATGATGAAATCAAGGCCATGTGACTCGGTTCAAAGTTCTTTTGCTTAGAACCACAAAAACTACATGCAAAAAAGCATTAACAGATATTAGAGAAAATGAGACATTAGACAGAAACCCATCCATCCCCTTGTCTAGCACTTCCTCCTGAGTTTCCAAAAGCAACGAATCTCAAAATGACTTAACACTGTCACTTCAATAGAAAACTACAATTAAATCATGTCATCCTACTAAAAAACGATACCATTGTTTTACGCAATGACATGAGAAAGTTAGCACATACAGCAATAACTCCCTGCATGTATTTCATCGAGTTTAATTCAGCCATAAATGCCTAACAAAAACTTGCAACTGAGAAGAAAGCTATAAGGACTTCCACTAAACACAGAAATAYTTCTTGTATTGATCCAAGTGAGTTTTAATGCTTTGAAGAAGGTGACAATCTGTTGCTAGTTTACAGTTCAGTAATACCCTTATCTGGGTGTT